CACCTTTCCATTTAAGGTAATTGAAGAGAGTGGAAACAAAGTGTGGTCCTGGCTGCTTCCACTGAGTTGCTGCCAGCAGATTTTCTCTGTTTCAAAGTGTGTCAGGAGTTGAGAATCCACCAAGCAGATGTTGAATTGAAGCTTTGCCCTTGGCTTGTTCTCACTGCTTACATTATTTATCCGTAAAGCTTTCGGATCCTAACATTTAGAAGCAGTAGTTCTCAGAGCAATCATACCAGGTGTTGTTTACAGCCTTTTCTTATATGAATCTGAACCATTCAAACCTTACAGGTTGTCTCTTATGCGCTTCCTCATGCCCTTCACAACTCCTACCTTTTAACATCAATGGTGCTAACACAGACAGTTAATATTTATTGTGCAACCTGCAGCAGCATAGCTAAAAAGAATGTGCCAGGATAACCCATGTTAACTGATTTATCAAAAAAAGAAAGTCTGATGCTTATTATTACTAGCCAGGTTCACCAAGAAACCATTAAATTGATTCTTATTTGTCTTCTAAATTTTTTTAACTGATCAGTCAGTCTGAGTTCAACACGCAGGGTAAACATCTAAATAGTCCTCCACACCTATCTCCTATGTTAGCAGCTGAAGCAGAGTAGAAAAGCCTGACAGATCTATGTCACACACACATGGTTTCGCTCCTATTTATCCAACAGATCTATTACTGTTCAGATTGGCAATTGTTCCTCCCCCCCTTTCCCCGGCCTGGGGTGTGCCTCAGGGCTCTGTTCTGGGGCCTCTTCTTTTCTCTATATATCTCCTACCACTGGACAAAATCCCAAATTGGCACAGTCTTAATTATCACATCTATGCATAGGCGTCATTTTAACCGGGGACGCCGGGGACATGTCCCCGGCAAAATTTGTGATTGGCAGCTGTGTCCCCCCCACTTTCAAAAAAGCCTGCTGATGAGGATTTTTGTTTTACCAGCTCAGATCTTTTACCAGGGGTCGGCAACCTGTTCCCATCAAAGAGCCATTATTACCCGTTTCCCACAGTAAAGAAAACACTGGGAGCCACAGCAGCGCAGCGTTGTGGGCGGGGCCTACCCTCAGACAGCAGAGAGCTGCTCACAACCAGGTGACAGCAGCCGGTACCATGGGCGTCGCACCCGTGGGGGATTCAACACCCACACTTTTCCAGCTGTTTTGCTCACCTCCACTCCAGTCTGGTTTCTTTACGTTGCACTCACTCTGTTTGCCTCATCTCCTTCTTCACCTCCACTTCTGACAACCGATGTCGGGTTTCCAGGAGAGCAGGAGAGGGAGGGACGGAAGAGCTCGACTGAATTCATAATTTTACATCTTGACATTAGCTGTACAAAGTCTGAGTTTGATCAAGTGAAGAACAATAATTTGCAGAGGTTTATAACTGGCGCAGCGCCAGGTTTTCATTTTTGGGTGGGCCACGGTAATTTTGGACGGACCTTAATAAGCAGTGACTTAAGTGAAGCAGGCAGGTCGCGCTAGAAAATTTCGTTTAAAAAGACGTCATAAATGTTTTTCCCGTCATTTTTATTTATAAAATATGAAGTAAAAACTCACAATTTAATTTTCATTCATTTGTCATTAATTAGTCTACACCCGTGCGTTAAGTGGACCATCTTCCAGTAAAAGAAAAGCATCCGGCCCACCTCTCCAAATGCGTAAAATGTGCATCACAGCCACTAGGCGCACCGCGCGCACTGTCAGCTGATCAGCCCAGACAAGAGCAGAGCAACTAGAGAAAGAATAGAGGATAAATGTGTCTGGATGTGGATGGAGATTACATTTTACAGCAGCCTGATCATCATTTAAATACATAAACCATCACCTGTCTTCTAGTCCACGCTATCAGCATTATTTTAATTGTTGTGTGTGTGTGTGTGTGTGTGTGTGTGTGTGTGTGTTTTCCACTTCAAACACTGGTCTAACCAACCAGACCAGCGTGTCCAGTAACACATTAATGTTACAATTAAACAGTTTCACTTCATGTAGGCTAGGAACATTTCACCTGCCGTAGCCCGACCGCTTCTGCTCCACATAAACTTTGTGCGTGATCAAATGTCTCTACAGGAGCTTTCTGAGCTGAAGAGGCGACTGGATGCGTCATGCGTCTCCATATTAGAGACGGGAACAAGCGCTATTCAGCCAAACTTTCATAATTTCATAAAAATAACATTTTTCCAAGTGACACATCCCTCAGAGAGACCGGGTTTCCAGACCGCTTCAGTGGGAGGAAATCAACCAACATCCTTGAGTTTATCCGTCAAAATAAACAGTCAAATGGAAATATCTGTAACCTTCCATTTAACTGTTTTGCCTTCTTGTGAAGATTGTTGCAAAGAGAAACAATTAAACCTGATTAACCCCAGAGCCACGCGCACTGCGCTGTAGTCCGTGACTGTAAATGAGGGGGAAACGATTTAATCGGATCCTTTTCTTTTCAACATGGTTTAATGTAAAGTTTCATTCAGTACAAACTTTAGTTACACCGATCTAACGAGACAGATCCTGGATTTGTATTCTGAATAGTTTAAACATGTTTAAAACGGAGACGTGCGTGAAGCGTCTAAAATTCGCACCTGCTCCGCTATTATGGAAATTAAACTAACAAGATGAATAACATGAAATTATTTTAAGCACAGACAACATCCCCAACACTTTTGAAAAGCTTGCAACGCGCCTGGTCGCTCGTGTACGTCAAAGTTATCTTTCATAAAAAGATAATCAATAAAACGATTAAATAAAGTGGATCCAGAAGCTGTAGCCCGTCTCTGCCTTCAATATTCACCCTGTTGGTGGTTTTACTGAGCAGGTGCCACTTTTGTCATACGTTTCTTTTTAAAACATGTTTAGGCTGTTCAGAATACAAATCCAGGCTCTGTCACGTTTGATTGTTGTAATTAAACTTTGTAGGTGGGGGAGGTCAGAAAGCAGCTCAGAAGCGCATGATTACGCACAAGCGTGACGCGTCAACCCGGTCTCACAGACCGGGTTGGACCTGTTCAGGTTTACGCAGACAATCTTTACATTTAGAATTGGCATACAGATGTAAAATTAATGCAGTAAAATATAAAGCATTTTATTTAAATATCCAGTCATTATTTTACAAGCACAGAGAGCCGCATGCGGCTCCAGAGCCGCGGGTTGCCGACCCCTGTGCTAGCCTACTTTATTGTCCCCAGCAATTTTTAAGCCCCACTCAAGTGTATGGCTATTGTCCCCAGCAATTCTGAAAACAAACTGACGCCCTTGCATCTATGCTGACGATTATCAAATATACGTGGCACAAAAAAATGGAAATGTGGACTCTCGTCTTGCGGCATGTCTGGCAGACGTAAAGGGCTGGCTAGTGGCCAATTTCCTCAGGCTGAATGATTTAAAAACTGAGTCCATTGTCTTTGATACCTGCAATCCTTCTGGTTCTCATTCAACTTTTTATGGTTTAAACCCTAAACAGTGTGTAATAAGCCTCGGGGTAAAAATGGATGCCAACCTCTCAATGACTCCTCAGATCAACTCAGTAGTGAGGTCTTGTTTTTATCAGTTACGCCGCCTATCTCGTTTAAGACCGATCTTAAAGAGGAAGCACTTGGAATCAGTCATCCACGCTTTTGTCACCTCTCGCTTGGACTACGCTAATGCATTATTAGTTGGAACTCCTGTCTCTGCCCTGAACCGGTTGCAGGTTGTCCAAAATGCCGCTGCTAGGTTTTTAACAAACACAAGTCAACATAGCCATATTACACCAGTCCTGAAACGTCTTCACTGGCTCCCCATCACTTTTCGTGTGTGTTCTGATTTATTGATGTTTGTTTTTAAAGCCCTACATGACCTAGCTGCTCCTTATCTGTCTGGCCTGCTGACTCCCTATGTACCTACTCGTATGTTGAGGTCAGCTGACCGTCTACTGCTTTGCATTCCCCAGATGGCCTACAAATCATAAGGTGAACGTGTGTTTGTCCATGCTGCCCCCATGCTCTGGAACTCACTGCCCATTACAGTTAGGCTGGCATCCTCTATGCCTGTTTTTAAATCTCATTTTAAAACCTACTTTTATGACTTGGCTTTTAGACAGTGATTCATGTTATTGTATTATGATGTAATAGTTTTTATTGTTGTGTTTTATCTTCTTATTGTTTTTACTTTTGTTTTAATTGATCCTGCCTGTTCAACACTTTGGTCAGCTCTCACGCTGTGTCTTAAATTGTGCTATAGAAATAAAGTTGATATGTTATGGTATGGTACACTGAAAATTAACATTAATGGACTCACCCATCTTGGCTTGTGAGGGAGAAGGCTGTTGTTAGTTTAGCCTCCACGAAACAGGAGTGAATGTCTCAAAGAGTAGAAGGTAATTAGAATTACCAACACCACCACACAGCACAACTCCTCCAGGCTTGTAGTACTTCTGGTGATGTTGGTGTTAGCCATTCAGAGGTCAGATGTCCAAAAATCAGGAAATAACACTCGAAAACCTGTTGTCTAACGCTCACCTCTCCGCAGGCTCATTTCTAGTTCCTGAAACAAGAGCGCCAGAGCTTTCCCCCCCACAGAGATCATCTCACAAGGCATTTTTATACTAGAGATATAAGAATCTCTAGAATAATTTTTTGCTGGATTTTTTCTATTTTGAAAAAAAAGATTAGTAAATCTTGAAAAAAAAGAGGACATTATAGGACTAATTCAGTTTTTTATGTGTAATTTCCCCAGAAAATTCCTTTTTTGAGAAATGTTCTTTTCTCTTTTGCTGATACAGTTTGAGATATTATTATTATTATTATTATTATTATTATTATTATTATTATTATTATTATTATGTCACTCTTTTGACTTTTACCTTGTTATTAATGCAAATTCCTGATAGCTGCGTATTTTGTTTTGCATGATATGATATAAAACAAAACAAAAAAAGTTTGGTTAATAATGAACTTCTACATCAAACATTAAAGCTGCATCTGGATATTAGACTTACTGACATGTTCTTCTGCTTTGCAGTCATGCGGAGGAACCCCTTCATGGTGGATGGCTGCTGTAGGAAAGGATCCCGTAATGCCCTGCAGGAGCTCTACAACCCCACACAGGTTGGAGGGGGGGTTAAAGCATTAACCAATTTATTCAGCTGCAACACTAACTGACCGTAACTGGGGATTCAGACTGTCTCAGAGACTTTTGCCATGCTGCTGAGAAGTATGTTAGGAGGACTCAAGGGGAGGTGTTCAAAACTTAAAGCACTGCTCTAAGTGTGAAGCACGGGTGCAGCAGCGTCATGCTGCCTACCTGCCAATTCTGCATTTTTAGGACAACTTTATGTTTTAGGACTTTTTAGAGGCTTGTCTATCCCCAGTTGATTCAGATCAGGGTGGTGGTAGGCACTGGAGAAACTTTGACACTAGTGCTCCAACATGAACCCTGACACAAACGGAAACAGTCATATGTCGGATTAAACAGACTAACATTAAGCTTCTGGAAAGACCTGTCCAAAGCCTCAAATTAGAGAGACCAATCCACCTGACAGTCATGTGTCTGGACTGTGAGAGGAAACTGGAGTACCCTGAGAGAACCCACGCATGCACATGGAGAACATGCAAACTCCTTGCAGAAAGACTCTAGGCTTGGATTCAAACCCAGGACCTTCTTGCTGCAAGGCAACAGCGCTACCAATGTGCCAGTGTGCAGCCCACATGTGGTATAAAAATATTAGAATGATGTGGTCCGGTTGGCTTCATCAGACAGTGATTTCCAGCTTTTGCTGGAGCAGTTCGCAGCAGATTGTGAAGCGGCTGGGATGAGAATCAGCTCCTCTAAATCTGAGACCGTGGTCTTAAATCGGAAAAGGGTAGAGTGCCTTCTCCAGGTCAGGGACGATGTCCTGCCTCAAGTGGAGAAGTTTAAGTATCTCGGGGTCTTGTTCATGAGTGAGGGAAAAATGGAGCGTGAGATCAACAGGCGGATTGGTGCTGCATCTACAGTGATGCGGGCGTTGTACCGGTCTGTCTTGGTGAAGAGAGAGCTGGACCGGAAGGCAAAGCTCTCGATATACTGGTCGATCTACTTTCTACCCTCAGCTATGGTCACGAGCGATAGAAAATATCAATACAAGCGATACAAGTGGCCAAAAGGAGTTTTCTCCACAGGGCGGCTGGGCTCTCCCTTAGAGATAGGATGAGAAGCTCGGTCATCTGGGAGGGGCTCGGAGTAGACCTGCTGCTACTCCACATCGAGAGGAGCCAGTTGAGGTGGCTCAGCATCCGGTCAGGATGCCTCCCTGGTGAGGTTTTTCAGGCATGTCCAACAGGGAAGTGACCCAAGGGAAGACCCAGGGACTATGTCTCTCACCTGGCCAAAGAACACCTTGGGATTCCCCCAGAAGAGCTGGTCCAAGTGGCTGGGGAGAGGGAAGTCTGGGTGTCTCGGTTTAGGCTACTGCCCCCACGACCCGACACCAGATAAGTGGCTGAAAATGGATGGATTGATGGAATTTAGTTTACTTTAACTTTATTGTATCTTTATTTATGTGATTCTATTATTGAAAAATCCTAGAATTATTCTTAATTTTTTATCATTATAAAACAGAAAAGGCTGCTGCGTCCTTCCTAACTGGAGCCTGAAGAGAAGAGACAGCAGAGGAAGGCATGACCATGACTGGTACTGGTGACGTTCCACCAGTCGGGAAAACGTTATAAAGCCAATGTGATCAAAGCCTTCAGTGGTTCAAGAATGTGAGCAGACACGAAGGACAAATGTTCCGTTTAAATCTAAAGAACCCTCTCCTGATGATGGAGGAGGTTAAATAATAAGATGGGATTCAACTTAACATCACTTCAGCCTAAAAAGCTGCATTTAAGAGGAAAATCACACCTTAAATGTAAAGAGCAGCAGTTTGATCACGTCATCTGATTTATCAGTAGCTGTTTTCCAAGCAGAATGTCCAAAGGCCAAGCATGTGTGGGACATGTTTGGTTCATGTAGAAAAACAAATCTGCTACATTTTTAATTTTCAAAGGTGTAAAACAATTACCTACATCCATCCATTGTCAGAACCCGCTGTGTACACGTAGGGTCGCGGCGGGGGGACTGGTGCCTATCTCCAGCAGTCAATGGGCAATCAGGCGAGGTACACCCTGGACAGAGAGCCAGTCCATCGCAGGGCAACACAGAGACACACAGGACAAACACACACACACACACACACACACACACACACACACCTAAGGACAATTTAGACAGACTAATTAACCGAACAGTCATGTATTTGGACTGTGGGAGGAAGTCGGAGTACCCGGAGAGAACCCACGCATGCACAGGGAGAACATACAAACTCCATGCAGAAAGATCCCAGGCCGGGAATCGAACCCAGGACCTTCTTGCTGCAAGGCAACAGCTCTAACCACTGCTCCACTGCGCAGCCCACCAATTACCTACATATTTATTCAATTGTGTGTAAGGCTTTTACTTTACCCATGAATCTATGCCCACAGCAAAAAAAAAAAAAAAAAAAAAAAAAAAAAAATCAATCTTGGCAAATATGTAAAAAAGGTAAATACCAAAAGAAAATAGAATGTGGAATAAATGAACTGTGATGAGAATCAGAGAATGGTGATAGTTATGCACAAAGACAGCAGAAGCACAGTGAGCTAGCAGCTGAGCTAGCCACCTGTAACCACCGTGGTTTAACGATTAGCCCCACAGCTCTAAGTTACAGCTTTGTTTACATTAGTGTTTTTGATTTGCTGAGTCATTTTACGGCAGACCCAGGGAGCGAGATGGAGATGCTGACCAAAGGTCTTGTGATGAACGATGTGCAGACAAGGTGTTAACTTCAGACACATTCAATAACATTTAAATGGGAGGGAAATACTGTCAGTAGATCTGTGCAATCTGAATAAATTCAACATTTATTCATTTAAGGGCAACTTTTTACTAACTTGGGTCTTCTATCTACTGTGTCTGATTTCATAACAACTGGCTTTAATCAGATTGTATATGAAGACTCGTTCAGATCTCCTCCTCCCCGCTGATTGGCTGCTGGAGATACGACCGGGATTACAAGATGTATTGCGGATGTTGCTGACAAAATCCTGCAAAAATTAGAACCCAACTTTAGAACAGTATTGATTTATAAATTTCAAAGGCTTTAAGGAGACACTGCAGTTGCTGTGGGAGCACAGCTCATCAGTAGTGTGATGCAATCCCCAAGAGGACACCTCTGCAGCCGATGTTATCACAGTGATGGATTGGATGCTTTCTGTCCCTCTCCTCTTTGCTCGTCCATGTCCTCCTCACTATCTCTAGCATTCTGTTTTCTGCCTCTGTCTCCTGCAGCTTACTCTAACTTCACACCTCAAATTGTCTTTTATCCCTCCGCTCCGTGTCTCCTGTCCTGTCTCAAGCTGTCCATTTATCACCCTCTTCATGTTAAAAGCACATTGGGAGCTCTAAGTGGTTTTCTGTATAGCTATGATTAGGCCAGGTGCACACGGACGGACCCACGGTGAGCAGAATTTCCGGAGAGGATTTTTCCACAGTTCCGCACTCATGTGAAGTCCCATTGATATTTTCTGTGTGCACAGAGGGTGTTGCTGCAGCTTGAGTAAACTGTAGCAGTGTGCGTAAAGTAGGTTGTCAAGAGAGCTGCTTGTCTTGTCAGTGTGTGTGTGTGTGTGTGTGTGTGTGTGTGTGTGTGTGTGTGTGTGTGTGTGTGTGTGTGTGTGTGTGTGTGTGTGTGTGTGTGTGTGTGTGTGTGTGTGGGTACCAGTGTGAATTGTAGGCTTGCAGAGTCAGAATATTTTTCCATATTTTAGTAAGATCCCCTTAAGTCTCCTACACCTATCTTCTGTGTTAGCTTCTGACAGAAAATAGATGGTGAAACTCTAGAATTTGAAAATCCTAATTTCATGGACTCACCCAACGTGAGTCACGACGGGGAAGGCTGTTGTTGGTTTAACATCCAGGAAACAGAACGTTTTGGCTACTAGAAGCTAACTGGTAACATTAGCAACTCCACAACACAGCAGAACCCATTCAGGCTTGTGTTGTTTGTAGATATACCAGGGTATCCGCAGATCCTTAAAAAGTCTTAAAAAGTCTTAAATTTGCTTTTCCAAAATTAAGGCCTTAAAAATCCTTTAAAATTACAAATAATCCTTAAATCCAGTTTCCAAAGGTCTTAAATTACCAAAGACCCAATAAACAAGATTCTTTTATTTCTATGAAAATTTCGTGAATTTGTAGTTAGTGTTTCAGCATTTTTTTGTGTACGATGTTGGCGTAAGCGGAACCGTACACATTCAGTTGGTTGTGAAAGGGGGCTATTTTTAAATAAGCACATTAGCTGATTAAGCTAGTGGGAGCTTGCGCCATGGGGAAGTGCAAGCTTAATGGTAACTGGATGGCTAATCCCACGTTCGCGACGTGGTTAGAACCGGTTCCAGGCAATGGCTGGAAATTATAGCTTAAATTTATTTTTGAAAATAGCTTACATTTGGTCAAAGTGGCCTTAAAAAAGGTCTTAAAAAGTCTTAAATTCGGCACCCATAAACCTGCAGATACCCTGAGATAAAACAGCAACGTTGCAGAGAAAACGGTGTCAGTGGTAAGATCATGTTGCTGTTAGCAAATGAGAAGATAATCTAAATATCAGGAACTAAGATGCCAAATCCAGTCGTGTTCAGCTCAACTCTGATCTGGCTCATTTTTAATTCCTGAAACACACACACACACAGACACACAGACACACACACAGACACACACACAGACACACACACACACACACACACACACACACACACACACACACACACACACACACACACACACACACACACACACACACACACACACCATACAATTAAAACAAATGTATTGTTGATCTTTAACATGTGCAGCCTGGAGTTTAGAGCTGAATTAATAAGGATAATTGATTTTTACTTTAAAAACAGTACAAAACGAACCAGAAAAGTCGTCGTCGTCGTCTTTCTGCTTATCCGGGTCGTGGGGGCAGCATCCCAACTAGGGAGCTCCAGATCGTCCTCTCCCCGGCCTTCTCCCCCAGCTCCTCCGGCAGGACCCCAAGTAGTTCCCG